GTTCAAGGAAGCAGAACTTTAAAAGTTTGTCCCTGAAACGCTTCATGGACAAGAACCCAGATTGGGAATTGGACGGCACCCCCCGGAATGACAAGGAGTGCATATCCCGCAGTAAAAGCATGACATTTGGAATACGAACCGGTGATACTTTGTCCCCAGCATCAAGTAATGGCAGCCTGCAGGAAAAATCCCCCAGCAGCAGTTTTAGTAGGTTTGCTCGAGCAGGATCTTTCAGGAAACTGATAAGTTCTGCACAGAACATTGCTAAACATGCCTCTAATGCTATGAGTGATAAATTAAATGAATGGAAGCAGAATATGGGGACCCCTACTTCCTCTCTGCAGACGGGGTCTGGTCTTACAAGCTCTGGCAGTATGAATTCACTACGCAAATCACAGGATAGTCTTGCTTCAGACTACCAAGATGGATTGAAGACGTCTAAAATGCAAGCCAGTACAGATTCTTTGAACAAGGGATCAGAACAGGCTTCTAGAGACAAGGACAAATATGGTGCTGAAGACTTGCGCAGGGCTGCAATGAACAGGCAGCAAGCTATGTTTTCTCAGTTTGGTAAGTACATATTTCATAGCGTTGGTCTAAGAGTACAGTTCTGATAGAACTGAGAAATATCCTACCTATCCAAAAGCAGATACAAATATATTTCAGAAATCGTATACAAGGTTAAAGCAATATACATTTCCAGATTTTATGAATAAACCTGAATCTTTGCTTCAGGCATATTTATCAAAGAAAATTACATTGAAAGAATTTTAGCTAATATATTGTCTCCACATTCCAGGAAGTGCTCCAAGCAGCAGATCCTACCTTGAGCAGTACATTCCAGCAAACAACTTCGATGCCTCTTCAAAGTTCAGCTCCACACAGAGTCTGTCGCATATAATTGCCAATGTAGCCATGGAAGTGGAAATGAGCAGCTGCTGTCGTTGTAATGGTTGCAAATCGCTACTGTATGATGAACAGATCATGGCTGGGTGGAGTGCAGATGACTCCAATTTGAACACCACTTGCCAGTTTTGTGGAGCAAACTTTGTGCCTTTCTTAAACATATATGTTAAGGTAAAATAGAATGTATATGCATAGAGTTATAGTACAGTTTTAAATTTTAATAAGTTCCTTGCTATTCTCATAAATTTGATTGCAACATTTTAACAATTTTATATGGAGAGAAAGAAACAAGACTTGAAATGATGCACTTCAGGGGTTATGATTTATTTATTTATTTATTTATTTATTTATTTATTTATTTATTTATTTATTCAGAACTACAAGGGTCATGATACAGCGTCAAAATTGAAATCTCTCAGCAAGTCCGTGGAAAGCATGAGAAGTGTCCAGTCGGTGCCTAATGCTAATAGCAGAAGTGAACGTGGAGGAGACGGCTCAGAACTTCCCACCAGCAATGCAAGCGTGTCCTCCTCAGTCTCAGACTTAAATGACATTTTGCTCTATGATGACAAAGCAGTGGATAGCCCTCCCTCGTCCTTCATGAACAGCCCCAGGCAGCTTATCCCAAGCAGATTAAACTTTCACCTTAAGGCAACTAAGCAAGTTTCGGATGAAATTAACATGAGTCCAACATCTACGACTGTGGGGCCAATGTGTATTCACCATCAAGCTCCAGGGGGACGTAGGCGCTGTACCAGTGAGTGTCACACTGCGACTACGGAGCGCCATATGGCTTTATCTCCTTCCAACTCAACTGTTAGTGATTCAATTGATGAAGAACAGGAGAGACATGATAGTGATATATCTGAAGGGGAGAACATGGAAAGGTAGTTTTATTGTCCTTCCATAAAGTGTTATTGTGACTATGAATACAAAAGATCAAATTGGCTATTATCAGAGCATAAGGCTATGTGACTTTCTCAAGGGTGATGATTTTTTCATTGTCTATGGTCGAAAAATATATGCTCCATTGAAAGATACAATAGTATTTGGTAAGTGACCTAAGATTGATATAATAATTGTTTTTCTTTGCAGTAAACCAGAGGAGGAGCCAATTAGAGTCCCATATCTCAGTCCACTTGTCCTGAGAAAAGAACTGGAAAATGTTCTTGGCAGTGAAGGAGATCTGTCTCTATCTAGGGATGAGTTCCTTGATGAACATCCTATTATCTTTTGGAATATGGTATGAATGCAATTTCTATACACAAAATAGGATTGAAGTAAAAATATTAGAAGTGCAAGGTTTTCTTTTTTTCAGCTTTTAATTTGATATTGAACTGTGATATTGAACGACTTTTTTTATTTGAATGTATATGTATTAAACAGAAATTGGAATGTATTTGGAGTGCCATGTCTTTTATATGTTTTCATTGAAGTCCTGATTATAAGTTTTATTATGTTATGTAGGTGTGGTATTTCAAGCGGTTAGATGTTCCCAGTCACATGCCAGGCTACATTATGACAGCTAAGAGCATTAACAAGGAAAAAGTAAGTAAAAAATGTGTACTGTACTTATGAGGAACATAAGCATGACTTAAAGAACAAGTCTTTCTTGTTTGTATCTTAATGAAAAATTGACCACTGTTCAAAAGATGGTAACAGTATCTAAAGTAAAAAGTTCTTTATTGCAGTTTGTTCAAAAGACAATCTTTGATTTTATTTCAGGAATCTAGCCAACAAGCAGATGATAAACTTGTTCTAGTGAGACTCAAGTGGGATAACATTAGACTGCACGACGAGGTTGGACAGCCTATGTACAAACTATGGACCAGCAGTAAGTAGACTATATTACTAAGCAGTTCACTTTTGATTATAAAGATTGATTAGAAATTTTACTTTTCTCATGAGTACATTAGTTATTTGGTTTGATAATGTTTATGTCTTAATAATGCTTAATATAAATACAAATGGAGACGGATTTGAAATTTCATGAAGTGTCTTCTCTCTTTCATTTAAAGAAAGTCCATCTGCTGCCGTCAATGCCTTGGTGACTGAGTCCCAGGCTTTCTCTAAGAGCATTCTTCAGCAGATTGTGACCAGCATCCAGTGTAATGATATGTTCAGCCCAATCAAGATTGTGATTCATGAGAGACATCGCCGCAATAAGAATAAGAGATACAAACACCGCAGCATGTATAGGGAAATATGTTTCCTTTCATTTTCTGCCTGTGGAAGAGAAAATATTGATCATGGTAAGAGATTAATGTTTATAATGCCTAGTCCAATGGGAAATACAGTTTTTATGTACAGACACAGATGTGTCTGTACATATTGCCATCACCTGCGTCTGTCGTCGCCGTCGCCGTCCCTGTCGCCGTCCCTGTTGCCGTCGATGTCGCCGTCGCCGTCGCCGTGCACTTTCATCGTTAACACGTTAAGTGGAAGACAGTTTTACTTTTTGGCTGTATATTTACAGAGCTGTTGAATATTCATAAAACGCAGGTCAAGTTCGAAAATCAGCATGTTTAGGCCATTATTGTAGAAGTTATGCTGTTTTTTCACTTTTCAGCATATATGCAACACTGTTAACACATTTTAAGGAAAACCGATAGGCCTGTTGTCATTATACTCACAGGAGTAATCAATCTCACTAAAATGCAGGTCAAGTTCGAAAATCAGCATTATCGGGCCATTATTTTAGAAGTTATGCTTTTTTTTCACATTTCCTCAAATTCAATTCTTAGGCATGTTAATAGTCTCATTATTTAACTAATAAAATACGTAAAGGTGTTTGTTTCACATTTCCTGCATCTTCACAACATTGTTAGTTGATTATGTAAAAATGATGGTAAACTTGTTATCGTGTTTTGTGTAATAAAGTGTCAAAAATGGAAATAAACTCATATTATTGCAGTTTGTCAGATTCAATCATCCACTATGTTCAGAATCTCAGAATAGAGGAAATTGGACATTTAACACTGTTGTATTGATATTTTCCCCATCTCATCAATTTTCTTAGTTGATCATATAAAAATGGCAGTAAACTGTTAATTTTGTTTTATGTTAAAAAAGTGTTAAAAATGGAAAAAACCCATTTCAGAACAGTGCTGTCTTGTTTACTTTTTGGCATTTTCAAGATGTGACTTTGAAGTTCCATGGTCCTGAAGACCTTTGCTAGTCACATTTTCTGAATATCCATGATACTAATATTTTATTATTAAAAATTGATGGTCATTATGCTGTTAAACATTATGTAATGTTGCATCAAAATTTGAAGAAACCCCAATTNAAAAGAACTTTATACAAACATTTTAATGGGCAGACTGTATCATGTTGTAAGTGATATAGAGACTGGTAGATAATGTTTTCTTTCCTTTATTTTTTTTTCTTTTTGACTGACTTTTGAATTCAATTCTGCAGAAATAGTGAGTTTGAGACATGATTTTGATTTGTTCTTTATATTAAAAAAAATCAAAAATAATTTAAACATGGTGCATCGGTATTCATAATTCAGTTTCTAGGACAGATGTTCATTTTAGAATGTGTAAAGTATTAAAAGGACAATTTAAGATCATTCTCAGACACTAAATATGTTTTAACACTGCAGTTCTTCTTGCCTTTCTTTCTTTGCGGTGTAGTACGTGATAATGGTGCATTTGTAAATAGCACAGTGAACACTGCCTTTTGTGCCTGTATGGTGTGATGTAACTCATAGAATTTGTGTTGTACAAAGCAATAACTGTGACCAATAAATGAAAAGGTCAAAACTGTGAAACGTGTTCGTATTATCTTTTGGAGAATAAAATAAAGGGTGTAATATTTCAAAAAGTGATTACTGTGAAATGCATGTATGTGGAACCTGCACAAATTTCAGACCAATAGATTTTACAGACGGGTGTATCCTCACGATAAAATATGTGATGAGTATACAATAAAAGTAAATTTAACTCCTTTTTAGTGTGAACAAATAAGACTTTTTTCTGTTTTTATCTGAAAATACGTGGCGAAGATATCGTTCCGACAGTCGAACACACAAGATAAAGAATATTACAGGTTTAGGCGAAATATTGATAACGAGACTCTTGGATGGAGATGAATAGAAAAGGCGGAAGTGTACGGGTTAGGCATGCGCCAAATATTTCCCGCGAAAATTACAATATTTTTGTACTGCCTAGGAGCTTCAGGTAGGTTTTATGCAATTTTAGTGCAAGCACAGTCAAAATGTTCAAACTATTTTGTTGTTGATGCTCTCTTAATCCCTTCTGAAAGTGTCTGATACTCTATTATGGCTGTCTTCAGCTGTATGTGGAACGGTGCACACTTGTCATGTAGAATGATGGGTGTATATTTTATCATCAGACTTCAATGCCTCAAATGCCAGTGACATATTATCTCTATTTTGATGCATGTTTAACGTCTCCTATTGTAGAAATAGTAACTTTAGCAATGCTCCATGTTTTTTTAATCAATTAAAGCGTTTTATAGTTAGACGATATGCTATACTAGACGCTTTGCTGTCTGTATCTGTCCATATGTCTAAAGAGACCAATGCTGGTATGAAATAGACGAGTTACGTCGCCTTCTCCATTAGCTGACTTTCAGTAATTTACCCAATAGGCTTTCTTATTTCTTTTCCTGCATGTACCAAGTTTTGGATTTTGGCAGGCTTTTAAACCAAAACATTTTGGGTGGAACCACTCATCACAGCGGTCACAACCCACCATATCACCTTCCTCTGGAGACTGACTAACACAATATACAGTAGCAACACCATTACTTACTGTAGCAGTATTTTCACGTGGACAACTCCAACCGCCTGGTTACATGATCAGGCAACACGTCTATTCCAGAACATGTTCAACTTTCCCACCATACTTAGTATGTGTTATGAAAGTTTCATTGTGTTTGATTCGAGTAAATATCACATCATTCAATGAGCTCCACACAACAAAATCACATAATGACACGCCACAAATGTACATTTGCAATTGTGCCTGGGCTTAATACTTATGATGTTGTTTCACTAGCAAATTTTCATCTAAATAGTCTGGAAACTTTTCCAAAAAGGGCTGGTCTTTTAGACAATAGGGGCACTTCACCTCTAGAGCCCCCTGACCACAGCAGTTGCACCTCACTATACTGTCTGGTGAGGCACCTAGGCAGGAGTTGGTTTGAGAAATAAACAGTCCAGCTCTTGTGACATTGCACTGTTTGTCAATTGTGGATGTTGGAGATACTGCTGCTTGTGAATATCTGTCCTTTGGGAAATACTCTCCTTTTCCCTTCACCATACACTGCCTTGTAAAGGTTAATGGCATCTGCCTCATGGGCATTTCTCCATGAAATTGCTGGCGACTGCACTGCTTTCCCAGAACAGGCAATTTTCTTTAACGGAGTAGGTGCAGGATATTCTTGATTAGTTGTCAAACAGTCTTCAGCAATGGAAGTTGTAATTCTTCCTACACATTTTTACTTTTCATCTGGTCATGCCAGGCTTTAGAATTTGCCTGTGCTCTAGTCACTTGTTCTACATAAGTTACTTGAGCATTGTTTACTTTGCCTTTAGCCTTAGCACTCTCTCAGGCACTTTCAAGTTCTTCCCCTGAAAGTTTTTTATTCCCATCAGCATACAAAGACCGGAGTGGTGGAGCAAGTTTTTCCTATGATGGTTTTGGCCCTAAACCAACAAACCTGTCCTTAAACTCTTTGAACAGACTTAGGCCAACACTACCCTCTACCAAGGCGACTGATAGATAGATATTCACAGATATCTCTAGCTAGATAGATGGTCATTCTGGGCTGAAGTCAGTGATTTCCCTGCTACAGGCTTTCTAAACAGTCCCTTGCCTTCTGGAGAGGTGGCCATCTCTGGACTGAAATATACTGAAGTCAAAGTCTGGTGTTTAGAAATGCAATTAACAGGAACACTCATGCAAATAAACATAACAGTTGACTTTAAGTATTGTAATATTAGAAGTTAAAGTGATAGTCAACACGTATACATGTAATACATGTATACATCTGGTACAGTACCAGATATTGACAGCGAGTAATTGAAAAAAAATACCTAATTTAATACTCTTGTCAGTTGACAGCTGGAGGGCTCTAGCATCCTCTTTTCTTTGTACCTGCACAGCCCTGCACTTCGTTATCTGCTCAAATTGATGAATCTGGTGATTGTAAAGACAAAAGGGAAAGCACTGGTTAGTTTGTAGCATTAACATATTGTGTATTTCTTAAAGTAGCAGAAGTATCTCCATGTTGCACAGTGTTTGCCTGCTAGCGATGAAATGTTTTTCACTAATGCATATTAGAGTTTACAGCAATGTTAAACATTAAAGGTATTATTTAAAATATTGATATAAATTTTCATCTCCATTTTATGGTATTGTTTCATTGACTTAAGGCACTTTACCTGGTCCTCCATAAGGGTGTTTAGAGGGCTTACTACATAAACCACCCCATCCTCTTCTAGAAATGGAGGCTGCTGGAAACATATGCTTTTCCCACCTCCTGTAGGAATGCCAACATACACGTCCTTCCCACTGACTGCAGCACTTACCGCTTCAAATTGATGTTCTGTCAGCCCTTCGAAATTCCAAAATTTTCTTACTATCCGATCTGCTTCTTCTTGCTCCATACCGTAACAATGCTTTCAGGCTGCTACTGCACCAGCATTTATACCTCTACAACTACTGTATTGGGTTATAAAGAAATAGAACTCCTTTATGTACACGGTTGGCTTTATTTTCAGTTTATTCAAAATTGCTGATAGCAGATTGACGATAGCCGGTCACTAAAATTAAAAATAAAAATACAATATAATATATTCAAAAGTATAATATAAAACAATGATTCTCATAAATTAAAACAAATACACTTACATAAATTGTGGAGTCTATATCTTATAAAGAGTCATGTCCTCCTCCTGCTTTCTCCAGTAAAGTCAGTGTGTGTGTGTGTGTGTGCTCTCAGTAGGTGTGGTCTTTTGTATTCATGCATCACATGACTGAGTGACCACATTTCACATTTGCTTGACTGAACAGTTTTTGTCAATATTTTGTTGATCCCAGAACATCAGGAGGTTCTCCTCGCAGAGATACATTATATATTTTTATCTCTGCGACACTAATTATAAAACTTAAAGTTCAAATGTCACACAAATCTTTTACTGATGAAATATATTCATATACTGTAACTAAACTAGAACTAATAAAGAAATCATAATTATATAACATCATTAATGACTTGTTTACTAATATAATATATATACAATGTTGCATTAGTATTTAAGAGCAATTACATATCCTCAACAGGAATTAATAAACCCAATCTTCTAACAGATCTCTCTACCTCAATATTCTTAGCACCCTTGTACTCATGAACTTTTTCTCCCACTCTATAATTTTTATAAGACACTTTCACTCTTCTTACTAGACCATCAGTGCCAGGGAAAACTTCAGTTACCCTTGCAAGACGATATTCTCCCTTGAGAACATCTCCCACTTTCAAGTCTCGATTCCCTTTAAACCACTTGGTTTGATGGACAAGAGTGTGTGCAAAGAGATTCTTCCATTGCTCCCAGAACTGTTTCACACAGCCTTCCACTAAAGTGAGACGAGATCTCAAGGAAGGATTTGCATCATAACCTCCAGGATTTCTAGAAGTAGATCTACCAAGAAGTAGAGAATTGGGAGTAAGGATATTGAGAGTAGAATCAACACTGGGCATCACTCCTATTGGTCTTTCATTAAGCAAATCTGCAACTTGTGTAAAGACAGTGAGAATTTCAGCAATTAACTGATTCTCTTGATTGCTGTCAAGCAGACTTAGACTGGACCTGCCAAGTGGCAGTGCCTGAGCAGTTATGCAAACAATTACCATCCATGTAATCAACCTTGGGATTTCTCAACAGGGTGACTTCAGCCCAGAATGACCATCTATCTAGCTAGAGACATATCTGTGAATATCTGTAAAAATCTATCAGTCACCCTGGTAGAGGGTAGGCCAACACATGATCCAGATGAAGCGAGTGACTTCAAAAATTCCATTTGCACTTCTGGGGGGGTCTGGTTCAAGAGCACGCCTGGGCTCCATATCTCGAAAGGTTCGCTTTGTTGCGCACATGCGTTAGTGTCTCGATTCCATAACCAATTCTATTTCGAGATACGGGGCCATGGAATCGAGACACTTGCGCACGCAATTTCCTGTCCACAGATCTCCAGTTGGCTGAGTTTGGACGAAGTCCTTCTTCGTATTGAAAAGCCATTTTACCTTTTGAACTATAGAAAATTCACTTTTTTTTTAAGAGCCTTTTTGTCACGTCTCCATTGCAGTACGTGGCGAGACGGCACCTAAAGACCGATTTTGCCCCCATGCGGTTGGTTGTTAGGGACTATTTCCGGTTGTGACATTCCAACTGCGAGAATGTACAGTGTAACGGTGTTTCAGGGTAGGACAACGAATAATGTTATTGACATCAATAATAAATACAGTCAACAACAGACATTGTTCATCTTCTATGGCCTCGTTTATTTAAATCTCTTATCTTAGTCCTTTACTTTTACTTAGAAAATGGAGTCAATTGATTTGGAAATGGGAGATCTGTTTGAAGATCAAAATGAGGACATTGAAGAAATAACTGCACCGCCTCCATTCCCTGAACTTGAGGATAACCCAATGAACGACATGGCAACAGAAACTCAAGAAGATGAAGAAGGTAAAATAAATCAAATAAATTTTCAAAATAATAAATTAATTTCCTTTAACACACATTCTTGAAATATAGCTGCAAATAACAATGCCCATTTTTAGGTTGATAATGTGCTTAGATTGCTGAACTAGATTTTTTTTCACAGATTTTTTTTTTTTTGCTTATATACAATCATGAAACCCCATTCAGTATTTCACATATTGTTGTTAGTTGTATTTACTGCCTATGGCATATGCAGAACATGCATTTTGAATTCACAAGATGAAATTGCATATTTGCACTCATATTTTCTCTTTAACTTGCTCAAAAGAAGGTGAAGATGGCCATGATTTATCTAAACTGAAAAACATCAAAGCAGGTGCTGCCAAGAGGGTGGTGAAAAGACCACAACCAAAGATGGATTCAACCAGGTAATTTTAATTTTTTGCCATGAAGTTGGATCATAACAGAAGTACAATATATATAATATTTCCAGGCATGAAAAGAGTTTTCATACATAAAACTTTGAATTTCTATTCCATATAAAATGGAAGTGAAATATAATGAAAATCCTAGGAGATATTATAAATGCTGAAATTTTCGCAATACCAAATATAAAACCATTGAGTGATAAAAAAAATTCATAATTAACCGTCTAATGCATATTTCAGGTTAACAAGTGATAAGGGAATTCCACTTCTTCCCAATTTATTTAAAGATGTCAAATTTAAAGGAAGAGGACATGAGGTAAGTAACTGGTACTTAAAGTAATTCTTTCAAGCTAATGAAAAACGACTTTTTGTTTTAAAATTTTATTCTGGCATTTGTTGTTTTAAAATTTTTTGGGGTGTGTTTGTGAAAAAAGTAATGTATATTATTTATTTTCTCCTCAGGGTGAAGATTTGCGCCGAATGATGCAGATTTTAGAGCACTGGGGTCATAGGTTATTCCCTAAAATGCCATTTGATGAGCTACTGGAGAGGTGTGAAAGACTTGGGGCTAAAAAGGAAGTACAGGTTTGTGAGATGTATAAAAATTAATGAGTAGAATCAGTAATCTTTAAAATTTAGAAAAATGTATAAAATTAAATAGATTGTTTTTTTTTCAGTGTTTATTAAGCACTTCATTTCAATTAAAAACAAGAAACTTTTTTTTTTTTTTGTAGTCTAAAAAAAGTTTATTACCATCTGTTTTCATAGATTTTTAACAGTTTGGATATTTCAGATATTGCAGAGATAATACTTAGAGACGAGTAATTTTTTTCTGCAAATGTATTGCATTTTTTACTTGCAGACGTGTGTGAAGAAGATTCGCAGTGACATGCCACTCATGGATGATGATTTTGTGTCAAGGAACTATGATAGTGGTGATGAAGACGATTCTAAAAATAAAAAGGTGAGATTTGATTTCATGTGGGGGTGATAGGAGGAATTTACCTTTTATTATTATTATTATTATTATTATGTATTTCTGTACGATCTTTCAAAGAAAGCGGACTTAGTACAGTCATTCATTCACTCAAAGCACTAGAAACTAAAGACCATGACTTGGGTGGTATCCAGTTCACTATAAACAGTTCATTGTGAAGTATTTGTAAAAAGCTAATGTTAGTCTGTATAGGCAGTAGGAAGGCAGGGGTCCACTACTTTAAGTTGTATATTTGGTTCAAAAATATCATATAGAAAATAAATTTTATATTTAAACATTTAATATTGATTTAATACTTGTCTATTGTACATGTCACTTACTTTTCTTACAATGTAGGCTGCTGATGAAGTGGAAGACATGGATGCAGAAGAAGCATTTGATGAAATGATGAGGCAAGAAGCAGCAAAGAAGCAGACTGCAATGGAGTCTCTTCCTCCACATTTATCAGATGGAGCAGTAAGCCCCGTTAGGCAAAATAATAGGCCACTGTCAACACCATCTTCAAAGGTAGTTTTTTTTTAAATTATATTTAATATTCATTGATTTAGTTATTTTCACACAAATTGACCTGATTTTAATATTTTTGCTATTTGTAGCCCGTTTTGCAAATGTTACCTGATAAAATTTTTTCAATATTTCATTGTTGTCTCGTTTCTAGTCCATGACTTGTGAACAGCTTGCTAGAATGGAAAGGAACAAGCAACTCGCAAAGGAGAGAAGAATGAGCAAATTGAAGAACAAGGACTCGGGTGAGATATGATTGCTATCTATTCAAATTTATGATGATTAAATTCATGCAAATACTGCATTTTCATCTATAAAGGCACATATAAAACTATGAATTTATGTTGTTATTCAGCACCACAATCAGATCAACAGCAGCAACATGTAGAAGAAAATCAATCAAACCCCTCCACTAACATGTCAGAAAGTGTCCAAAAGCCTGCAGGTGAAGACAATGCTGATACAAGTATTGATCCAACCAAATCACAGACATTTGAAGACTTGGCAGATGATGATGATGACTTTCCAACAGAAAATGAAATTTTATTTAGTTGTGGTGATGTTTTGAAAAATCAACAAGTGGAAGAAAAGAATTCTGTGACAGAGGTCAACGACAAAGAGGCATCACTGGAAAAGCCACAGACTGGGACAGACCAACAGACAGAAGAGGAGATACTCGCAAGTCTTGAAGAAGATGAAAATGCAATAAATGATATACAATCTAGTATTCCAAAATCTTCAGCAGACAATGAAAATGAAGAGACAGAACATAAAAATAGAGCCACTTTAAAGGACACCACAAACGTAGACCTTGAAACGGGTGTTGTTGTTTAATATTCTGAGGACTTTAATATACATGTATTGCTCAGTTCCATACAATTCTCAGAAATTCACCAATCCCTTTTCTTACACAGTAAATGAGAGTATGTTTTACTTATAATATTTTGTTATGTAAATCAGACTTGTTGAAATCTGAATCTTTTACAATCACATTTGTATCATACCATTAATATGAGTGGTACACAAAAAATTAAAGTACAAATATCACATATATTTATTACATTGACAGTCTAAGCCCAATGATACCTTTCTTTTCAAATTGCTTTAATTAGTTTTACACATTTATGTATTGAGGAAATAAAAAGTGCTGATTATATTATTATATATACAAACATCTTGTGTTGTTTCTCTTAAAACTATTTGCATTCAATGTCATATCTATCTTGTGTGTTAAAAGGAATGGAAAAATCAAGTATGTCTATTTCTTGTCTGTAGTGATTCAAAAATGGCCATAACTTTTAAAATATTAACCACTGATGTTTTAGTCCAATCCCCCTCCATCATCACTATCAAGTCCTTCAATTTCATCTTCATCCCCACCTATTGCTTTCCAGAATGATATTGCGACCTAAAAATGCACAGTTCAACATGTAAACAGGAAGCAAAAAATATTGACTTGCTAAAGAGCGACCTAAATATGAAACAAAATCGAATTTGAGCCTGCTTCCCATAATTGTACTAAAATTGAATATTTGCACAAAATGCTTCAAGCACTGCCACTTCATAGAATTGATTTAACGCTAATATAAACCTGAGCATTCATACACTTAAAAATCCTTTAATGGCAAACAAAATGCAAATTAAAGTAATGCATTTGTAAGTTACCTTTTCTGCATACAATTTTCTCTCCTCTGCTGGAAGCGACTCTGCTGTCTCTGGTATAAAAATAAAATTTTAATGAAAACACTGTCATAATTGTTTTGTGATGCCTGAGAAAGATGTACATCAAAAACTGACCATCCAAATGGTCTTCTGATTCATGGACATAACACCTACCACTGTGCACTTGAAAAATTATATGACCTATTAAATCAAACTTAATTTGTGATTACCACGTGCACAGGTAAAAGAACATCACAGCTTTGATATCAATCTACCATACTTCAAAAATGCATATAGAACCAGTACCTTTCATAATCCTCATCTTTGCAAACAACTCTTCAAAGGTTTCATGATCTGATTCATCGTTTCCTAATGCTGCCAACATAGAAAGGTCATCATCTTTAATTAGAGAATCTGCAAAAATAAAAAATAAATACATAAAAGAAATTCTTACAATGGAAAAACACCATTTTAATTGTCAATGGTTTTGTACATTTCATTCATAATCAGCCTGAATTTCAATTTTTAGTATATGACAATAACATCTGTAAAAAAGCTACTGGATGCATATCTCTGTTTTTTTTTTTTTTTTTTTTTTTTTCAACTGTTAAAATGTAATAATATTTAAAACTAAGCCAAAGAAGAAACTTACCAATCTTCTCCTCCTGTATTTGTTCCTTGCTTTTTCTTGTTTTTTCTCCCTTCTTCACTTTCATATCATCAGATGCACCACCCGTTTCTTTATCATTTGCTGAGGTAGACCAACTGTTAGCATTCTGAGTTACAGCTTCTTCACTATCAGGTTTTGAAGCACCAGCTAAACTTTTACTTAGCTCTCCTTTAATATTATCAATGGAATGAGCATGTATTTGGGAATTATCTGCACTGTCTGTAGTATTCTCTGTGTTTGTACCACTTTGAAGTTTGGCAGCATCTTTTTCTGCTTTCTCCTCCACCATCAGTTGCTCAAAATAGGGACTTCTAAATGCTGGCCGATCTATAATGGGAAAAANGTTCAACTGTTAAAATGTAATTATATTTAAAACTAAGCCAAAGAAAAAAACTTACCAATCTTCTCCTCCTGTATTTGTTCCTTGTTTTTTCTTGTTTTTTCTCCCTTCTTCACTTTCATATCATCAGATGCACCACCTGTTTCTTTATCATTTGCTGAGGTAGACCAACTGTTAGCATTCTGAGTTACAGCTTCTTCACTATCAGGTTTTGAAGCACCAGCTAAACTTTTACTTAGCTCTCCTTTAATATTATCAATGGAATGAGCATGTATTTGGGAATTATCTGCACTGTCTGTAGTATTCTCTGTGTTTGTACCACTTTGAAGTTTGGCAGCATCTTTTTCTGCTTTCTCCTCCACCATCAGTTGCTCAAAATAGGGACTTCTAAATGCTGGCCGATCTATAATGGGAAAAAAATTAACTAATTCTACAATTAAAAATAAGTTTGTATCTTAGATACATTTAAATAAATGTCAATATATCCAAATTTCCCAAAGGATGTGATTATAATAAATCTGAATATCAAAGTATTCACATCCCTTACCTTTATTCATTATTGTGTGGGGGCGTTTTTGCAACCCCACAAATAAATACTTTATCACCTCATTTGTTCTTATGTATTTATATATATATACAGCTATTTGTAGTTATGTTCATTCAGGTTAGTTCACAGAGTTTTATTTGAAATAAAGAGCGTCTGCCCACAGGCCAAATCCCAGCACAAACCTGATATCATTGTTACATTTTATTTTAATGCATCCACTTGAAATTAGTTCATTTGAACTAAATTCTGAAAATTAGTGGATGGAGGAGACATAAAGTGCAACATGTATGAACTTAAAATAGAAAGATATTATATATGAGATAAATACAATATAATGTGTTAAGGGTTTACAACTCTTAAGGCTTTTGTGTGACATGCCTTTTTAGGTTTAATTTAACTTGCCTTTCATTTCCAAATTTGACCATGTATGAGCATGTAATGCTTGAATAATTCTTTTCATACCAGTTGTCTCTTGGAAATCATCTAAAAAAAGACACAAAAGGGTAATATAAATTACAGATTTTTGTTCAGTATTTATAACAGATCAGCAAACTAAAATTTTTAGGCTTACTTTACCAAAGTGACTGACAAAAAATTTACATATTCTAAAATAAACTAGAGGATCAGAGAGGCGATACCGCCTCCAAATATTGTACCACCAGCTGGAGCAAACGCATTTGTATAGACCCCCACATACACAAAATAAGGGACACAGCCACCAGTTTTGTGCTTGACAAGCTGTAAAAATGCAATCAACAAGAATTTTTTANAATTATTGTTTACTGGTGTGGTGATTGGTGAAATATCACTCCACACTGAAAAGATATAATTAGATTCTTATTTTTTAAAAATAGTGCAGACATTTATAACAGACATTATTTCAGTTTAACTGTTTACAGATCCAATGAAGATATTTTCTCATTAATCTAAACTCTAGGGTCTGTTCTCAAATTAAAACATGCACATCTTTCTAAAATTCAGCACAGAATGTCCTCAATGTCATACCTTCCTCACTTCCACTGTCTTGAACAGGGTTTAGTTCCACTAGTTCAAATGTGTTATCCAGACACCACTTCAGAACCCTCTGTCTAGGAACAGCTGTGAAGAACAATGTTAATTGTATCAATAAAAGGTAGCATTTATATTTAAACAGGTAAAAACGTTTTAGTCTGTAAAATTAACAATATCTGGTGCAACTGTGCTCAACCAGAAATTACCCTAATTTTGAAGCAGGTTGTATCAAAAATAACTGTTAACAATATTTACCATCACTGTGATCACAGCATTCACAGATCAACATCTGAACAGATGGTTCGATTTCTTTAATAAAAGGAAGCCAAGATCTCACTTGTTCAAAACTCCCCACCTGAAATGATTCAATAAAAGTATGGGTCACTCCACAGCAAAGTAAGCATTTGATTTTCATCAATGATGAACAATTTGTGTAATATTTGCATAATTTTGTCTTATCATTTTCCTCTTTATACTATAGTACCCTTCCATATAAAAATAATCAATAAATCAAGCAATATAAAATAATTATGTAAATATTACACAAAATGTGTGGGTCACAAATGTGACCAAAATTTTCACTTCATTTTGAAATGATGCATAAAATTACTAGTACAAATAATTACTGATATGAAATATGCAAATAAAAAGGTACTACAGGGGTATGTTAGGACAAAAGCATAGATCTACTTCATATCAAGCTGCTGTACATTTATTCTTAAAATAAATACATGAACACTGTATAACCAAATGGCACCTTATGATGCAACAAAGCCCGTAAATATATTTTGTTTACATCAATCAGGGGTGGATTGAGGTCGTCTTCCGGATCTTCTGGAAGATGGTCAGATTTTCAAGTTTACATTGATGGTAACTCATTTTTTCTGTCAAAAGACAGTCAAAAATGGAGGATGGACCAACAAAGATAATTAGGATGACTGTCAGAAAATATCTCTGGATCCGCCCCTGTCAATATTCCACTAACAGTAAAAATAAAGAAATCCTTCTGCTATAGACATAACTTACATCTTTGCTATCAAAATAAACAATAAATGCTTCAACTGATTCTGCAAACTTCTGGTCCCCAATGGTCCGCTTTTCTGTAACACATATGTCCACATTGGCAGTGTAATATTTTGTGTTAATGTGCCAAGGGTATGCTAGTATTCCTTCTAGACGTTGCCTGGGATCTGGTAGGTCATCAGCCGTGAGTATTTCTGGAAAAAAATATCCCATGAGAATTAAAAAAAAATACTTTGGTGAACTAAATTATTTCCTTTAAATCATTTGAATAACTTGAAATGTCAAAATTGATTGAACAATAAGGTTATGATTGTGTTCGTGATACAGAACTATATTACACAAAAATTGGCTACAATAATCCAAGCTCATAAAGTATAACTTAAATCATCTATAACAATAGCCAAGTTCGGAGAATAACGGTTAGTATATGCTTACTACAATTATCAATTTCATTTACTGTACAGTGCATGCAAGGGGTGGGAGGTGGCAAATTCCAATTGAATACATTTTACACTTATCACTCAACAGGTTATATGACCTTCATATTTTAAGATAAAAAAGAGTTAACACGTTGAAATCGTAAGATTGAGTTTAACCTACGTTTTGCTAGGTCAAACGGAGAAAACTCCGTGCAGCTTGCAACAAGCACACAAGGGGAATCCATTTGAACTTATCTGCCCCCTTGTGTTTTTTTTTGCCAAGACAAGACATTGTTGTTGTTTTCTTTTAATGTTATGAAGTAATGTATTAACAAAACCTTTTTAAAAGTCTAACCTAAACAATTTTTTTCTTTTGATCATAAATTCATTGTAAAATTGGCAAATATGCCAGCTTATCTTGAAACCTCACTTCTAGCCCACACATAAAATCATGACGTTGCAAATCATGTTGTTATGTCTGTTGCCAGTTGCCGAGTTACATTGAACTATGGCGAGCACTGGAATAAGCTACTGTTTTATGAGTTGAACCCCCTTTTTATGTCTAATATTTTCAGATATAGCTATGCCGATTATGGCAGATGTAAATAACCACCCAGAAGAAGTTGGGCAAATACTAGTGAAGGTAAGTAAGATTTAATTCCAGAAAGAACGTCACCCAATCCAAGACGAAATTAAATTGACAAATAATGATTTGCTGCCGAAGAGGTCGAGTTGTCTCAAAATCGAAGCGCATGAAACTTTTGATAATATTGATTTCGTTATGAAGTGAGTATTTATAGATATGATTTACCAATACTATAATACAGAACACACCAGAGTTGTTATATCCCTAATTAACTGGATATAAATCTAGAGACTTTACTGCTTGTTTACACAATCAGAAAAAATAGGGTGGTTCTAATACATTGAACGACTATCAAAATACTGTGTCAGTGTTGCAACTAACACACATACATGAAGATAAAAATAACATTGAAATTAAACAGTACTATTAGTGATAAATACTTTCATTGTAATGTTTGACCAACAATCACAATTAATTATCTCAAAAATATTATTTTATGTACATGTAGGTTCAAGAAGACCTTCACCAGTTGAAGCACAAATTGCTCACCCAAGCTCAAAATGGGACTATTGATTTGACAGCTCTAGAGAATGCTATCAACAAAACCGAACATGATTTAAAGGTAAGTATCAAAATTGTATACAGTACATCAACTTCATCAAGATTTTAAAGGTACCAGTACCAGTACATGTACATGTATGTTGCACCACTGCATGTGATATTCATTTGGTAGTTGTACCTTGGACTAAAATTGTAATAATATTATAAGGCCTCATAAAATAATTTTTAGCATTTTTAGGCATTAAGCTCATTTTCTTTGGTTAAACAAGTGTAAAAGCACTTAAAATAATTTTAGAAAACGGAAAAGCATATTTTTGTCAAAAATGTTGGATTCAAATGTAATATATATTTTTTAATGCTAAATAAAAGTCTGGGACTGGAAATTTAAAGACCCATTTCTTGTACTGGGGCAGGTATATGTTTTGATAATCAAAGTGTCAAGATTGTTGCATTTTTGCTTTGCTGTAAGATAACTCCAAATCTACAAGTTGGTCTTGCTTTAACTCCGTTGATAAATGTAAAAGAAGCTAAGCTTAGGTTCCTGTACAGTAGGAATGTGTGGGAATAATGTAACCTTCCTCGTGAGTATCGATAAACAGAATAAGTATAACGAAAATAAGATTCAGATTACTTATTGAAGGATATTGATTTTACAAGTAAATATGTAGTCAGTAAGGGACATGTTTGCATTGTGCACCATTTCACTTTGTACAGGTAATAGGTTCTGTTGTTCAGTGCTTTGACTGCTTTAAATGATCGATAGTTCCTTTAGACTGGTCTTGTATGAGTGTTGGTGCAGTGCAGTCATGTGTTAAACATATCACTGAGAGGAGCTTTTAGCACAAAACATTCAGCCACAGTAAATTTGATCGATTTTTTCATCACCCTGTTCCTGCATATACAATTTTATTAATATGATACACTTGCTTTTATATTAAGTTAATAATTGAATAGAACAAAAAGCCAGACAGAGAATGAGCTAAATAGAAATATGCACTTCAAAATTTTTACTTTAAATATCTTGCCAAGCTTTCCCCATTCAGTTTCGAAATGCAATAAAGCCCCAAAAATAAAATTATTTCATTATGTTATTTCCTTCTGGAATGTCAGGAAGATTAATGATGGTCCAAATAAATTGTGATTTGCTAAGAACTGAGTTATATGATTAGAAATGGTAGAAAAAATCTCATCAAAGTACAGGCATGGGTCTTTGCAATGGTTGGAGAAAATTGTTATTTTTCTCAAGGAAAATCCTGAATAGCGCCTTTAAAAGTTTACAGTTTGAAAAATCACAAAATATCAAAACAATAATGATTGAAGCAATGAAATATAACTTAATTTTTCATACTTTTTAGGTGAGGTCAGAGCAGGTAGTTGGAGAAATCAACCAGCAGTTTTCCACTCTACCATCTTTAGAGGCACAATTGCAACAGAGGGAACAATCTTACACAGGGCCTGTTGTAGAGTCAACATGGGACCTTCAGAGAGGAGACGAGATCAGGAGACCCGGCAGCAGGACCTTGATAGAAACAAGGTATGTTTTTTGAAACACTTCTTTATTTTTTAGTTTTGATAATTGGAAAATAATAGTGTGGTTTTTTAGCTCAAATAGAAGTGTTTTGCTGTGGATGTTGTGGAAGCAGAGTCATTGGTTGAAGAATTTAATGGCAACATGTAGCTGATGTGTCATTTGCTTTAAAAAGACAACTGATTACTAGTGTAATTGTAATACAGTAATCCTTGGATTTAGTCGTTGACATTGTTTGTTGTTTTTATTTTTCTTAGCGAGCTCCTCAGGTAATTGTTTATTGCTTTGCACCGCATCAGTAGACAACATGTTGCTAGTTATTCAGTGCTTATCATGATTTTTTATTATATTGTTTTATTTATTTTTATATATTTAAGATCTAAACTTTTAAAGTTTTTACATGTATACATTTTTTATTTCAAAAGCTACTTTTCATTACTGGTTATAAGTAATTTATGCGTAATATTAAATATTTTATCACAGCACTTTAAGATATACTCTCTGCTCTACCACACTGTTATATCCTTTTATACCCAGATATATACCCTCATATATTATTCCTTTTTATTCATATCTAGTTTTCCACTCCTGCCAATCCATGGGTAATTTCTTATGTGCATAATCTGCCTGCCCCCCTTCAGTGTTGTTTTGCTATTGTCTTTCCCAAATTGTGATTGCTTAGAGATAGTGATATCTGTTGATCTTCCTAAAATAGATATCCATTCTTGTTCATGATAGTCACCTATGTAGTATTTTAAAGGGATTGTCGATCCTAAGTTTGAATGTCATCAGCTTTTAATTAATATTTCCAGAAAAAATGTAAACAGTTTATGTGAAGTTTGATATAAATGGCTGCTTATTAATATCTTAAGACAGGCAGACTCATGCATAGTAGCTAGAATGCTGTATATGTGCTTTGGAGTTTCTCGTTCAGTGATGTTACAACATATTGCAGACAGATTTTTTTTAATGGAACCCATTTTTGTCTTTGATGCATTTCTTGGAAATGAATTTGAAAGGAAATTATATGTATACTATACTAAACAGATATTAACTCATAAAACAATGAAATATATATTACAAACTCTGTAACCATTATCCTATAATTCTCATAATAAATTGATAAGTTGATCTTAATCTATCTGTTGATTGTCTCTGATCAGATTAAAGAATTATTATGTGACAAATGTTCTTTAATTGACTGCATTTATTTGATACCCTTTATATAGGGGCATGGATACACAGCCAGTCCTAACCCTGGGGAGAAAGACACCAAGATACCAATTAACTGGAGCTACACCTGGTCAGAAGGTACTGGTATATTTTGTATTAATCTGGTCCCTCCAATTTCTCTTTCAGATATGATGTAATATTTCTTTCTTTCTTTCTTTCTTTCTTTCTTTCTTTCTTTCTTTCTTTCTTTCTTTAAGACTTTAATAATTATTTAATGAAAATTATCATTGTAATGTTAATGTATGTAATAATAAAAAATTAAAAAAAATAAAATAAAATGAAACAAAACAAAACAAAACAGAAAAACAAAACCAGAGTATAAATACTTTATACCATTGTTTGTTTTCAGCTGAAACAAGTCTGGAGCATGAGAGTTGCCCAGAACCCTCACAACCCTCAGAACAGAACAGTCATGCAGGACAACTTTGGTGTACAGTTGCCACAGCTAGAGGACAGGAAATCTGCAACAGTGAGATCATTTTTCAATCAAATCGATCAGGTCTTATTGTATTTTAATAATGAAATTGTTACATTATTTTTTTAATGATTTGGGCATGGGGTGAAGCATTTGTAGGACATAAGAGACATTTGTAGCTGCAGCTGAACAGGTATTTCACCCTGCCAGTTTCCTGTGAATTTATATTTATTCCATCAGTTTGACAAATTTGTCATGTGAATTTTAGCCATCCAGTGCAAAGATTGTAAAGGGAAACACAGTGGAACACCTTACAGTCCTCCCCAAGGCTAACAGAGTAGATCCACAGGTAAGATCATTTTTTATGTGTCCTTGGGACATTAGTGTCAATACTATTATCATGATTGAACATGATTTTATACATCTACAGATTAATACATTGATTTCTGTGTGTTAGAGCAACAAAAGGACTACTATCAAGGGTTTAAGGTAACGCTACTTCAAGGTAAAAAGAGAGAAGCTGCAACTATCAGCGGGGTTGAAAAACAGTTATGACAAGCAATGCTATCAATTGTCTTTTCATTATTATTATTATTATTCTTTTTTTGTTTTCAGTTGATCCCACCAGCTATATCTGAAGATGATGCCAAGCATGGCATTTTAAGTCTGATAGAGAGGGGCCTCATTCCTCCTGCCGCGGAGTTGACCCTTGATCCCTCACCAGTCCACCACAGGATGGCACCACTGCATGATCCTATGGAAAAATCTGGAGAAAAGGCAAAACCCTCTCCAATGAGTGGTGAGTGGAAAAAAAAAGATAATAGAGACATTCAGCTTTATTTATTTATTTATTTATTTTGTCTGAAGAGCACCTCTGTGGTCTCTGTTTTGTGATTGTAACTTATAATGGTCTAGTTATAATCAGTAGACATTTCACTAATT